GATCTAATTCAGTTTCTTTACGGGTAAGATGGTATGGATGCTGTCTGGATTGAATCACAGCCTCTGGAATCTTTGAAATTAAAGAAATCAGGTTTCAATAACATGTATAGATATGAGATTGATGATCGAGATTGGAGTCCTAGTTACATGTTGCCTGAAGCTGTGGAAGATTTAAAAACAATCAGCGAGATTCGCAGTGTGTTTGATGCAGAGGTTCAGAAACTTAGAAGTGGATACTGGAAACAAATACTTCAAGATTCACTAATTTCAAATTTTATATGTTATTTAATATTATATTAATATTAAACTATTAAAATTTATTGAATAATCATATTTCTTGAATAAAATATTATTAAAAAAATATTCTCAAAATTTCAAAGTAAACGCGTTTTCCATTTTCATATTTCTCAAAACAGTTTTTCAAAATGACAAAAAGAACGCATTTTCAGAAATTTCAAAACAGACACTCAAAACACAAAACACAAAATGAATTCAAAACACAAAACGCAAAACTGAAACACAAAGAGAATGATCCCAAAGATTTTATCCTCTATTTATTTGGATATTATTATTATTATGTCAAACGACACAATCAAACTCGAAGAAATACATTAAGAGTGTGTTTGAAACACATTCTTTTGAAAGAATGTATTATTGAATAGTAGATTGATGGAGAATGTGTGGTTAAAAATGAATGAAAAGTTATTAATGTGATGGAAAATATTATTTTATTAAAGAATATGTAGTTGAAAATGAGTAGAAGAATGAGAATGAAAAAAATAATGTGCACCAAACAGGGCCTGAACAAGCCAACTCGATGCCTTGTTGAGCATAGATACCAATATAATTTTTTTATTATTTATTTATTTATTATTATTTTATTTTTTAGAAAAATGTCGACTGGAAATAAGCAGATCAATTGGACTCGGGTGGCCTCATTTTACTAATGACAAGAAATTAACCCGGTCGAAACTAAACCCAATCCAAGGCTTATAGAAGGGAGTAGAAAACGACAAGCAATTACCTCATTCTTTCCCCACAACATAATATTTCTTCACGATTCCATTTCACTCAAAACTGGGCATTGATATCAACTCAATTCGTCAAGGGATCAACGAGCATTTACAAAACTGGACACAAGGAATATACATAAAACCGCTGATTACTGATTTTTGGAACAAAGGAGGCTCCGAGGTCACTTGACAGAAGTAATTAATCACTTAAATTGTCATCAAGAAAGTTGAGATCGGCATCATCATCATCGTCATCGTCATCATCATCGGTGGCTGCATCAGTAATAGTAGGGTAAAGTTCCAAAGGTTCGACTACATTGCCCAAACTCACCATCTCTATTGATCTCTTTCTAGAGTCTGCATTCCCATCTTCAAAATCCATTAAATCTGTTTCGTATGCTTCCCCCTGCTCCATTTCACTGTAAAGGATTTCCTGCAGCCAATGAACATGACATCCAAGAGTTAAAACAGCATTTAGCACGACACCAAGGCAATGCACTTGGTTGTATTGGTAAAAAGGGGACGTTTCAAGGCTATTAAGCTTATGTCCAACTGCAACAAGCGACCTTTATCCGCAATTCTAAACTATATGTTGTATTCCAATCAACAAATATCTTCTTTTTCGAACAGTTTATAGAATTCATCAAGAAGTCATATTACATTTCATTTAGCCAAATACAGAAATTCCTCACCACAAACCAGCATAATTTACTAGCTTCACCGCCGTTGGTAGAGAAGGAACAGTTGGCAAAATTGCCTAGATAACGGTTCATTGTACGTTTTATTTTGTTTCTGTTTCTGTTCTTCCTTTCCATTTTCCTTATTTATGGGTTCAACAGTAATGTGATTAACATATCATCAATTTCTGTAAAAACAGTTCATGACAGCTTAAGGAAGGTGGTTTAATGCATGATTTGAAAGATCAAAGAGCACAATGTTACATAGCATATAATTCAAGGGTGTAAGTTCAATTTACTCTAAAAGAAAAAAGAAAAATAAGTAAATACATGCAAGGCTAATGTGTTCCAGACTTCCAGGATCAAATAAAAAACAGGACCATGACCATCCACAGATACAAAAAAAAAAAAGGATAAGGAAAGCTACACAATAGCCAATGTCCCATGCTGCAAAAGCCACTAACCATTTCTGTAAAACACAAGATATGAATTAAGAGAAACAAAAAACACAGTCAATTATTATTATTATTATTATCTCATCTAGAACTGGAAAGGTTCAATTCAACCATGTTGTTAAGGAATTGACAACAAATAAGTTCTATATAATTTTAACTTTATTAGCACCGAAAACATCAATTATGCACAAGATCTTGAAAGAGAACAGATTAAATGTACCTCATCTTCTTGCAAGGCTTGTTTCTCTGTCTCCACAATCCAGTCATACAGTAACCTCTCTTGTAGAACACAGTCAGAGGACACTACGTCACAGGAGCGTTTCCTTATCTGGCGTTCCCTAAGTCGCAAGTTGTAGTGCACGTAGATAACTTCATTCAATTTTTTCTGTGCTAAACGGTTATGCCTTTGGCTGTAGATCTGATCATGTATGCTCCAATTGTGCTCACACCCAAAAGATGAACAGGTTTGGCTCAGTATGCGTACAGCTATCTTTTGCAGCTCCAAACAATTTATCCCATGTTGTTGCCACCATGCAGCTAGAGATAGTGAGACCGTTGTCAGTTCAATTCACGCTTATTGGTAAAATTTCTACCTAAGTGTTTTGATGGTATAACCTGGATCAAGCTCTGATCTGGTACTAATTGCCAAGTCAGTTCCAAAATCAGCTTTTGCGGAGCCGAAGTCAGAAATCTGAAAAAGTACAAGAAAACATAAAGAACATTCAAGTGTAGAAAATGGACAAGGAAAATTTATTAGGAAACTCCCACCTGCATGGATGCAGAAATCCTTCTTGCACTGTCTGGTTCCAGTCGAACAATGCATGCATTCAGGCCACGTACGACATCAGGATGCTACAAGATTCACACGTTTTACAAAAGAAAAGGCTAAAAAGAATGCACATAGAACTAATATTTCACTATTTCGTCTGAAACAATTCTGAAAAAAAATCATTCTCCTACCGGAACAAATTCCGGACGATAGCGATATGATGGATTGAGAAAGTAAGCAGCCAGATAGAGAGGGTGGTGAAATAATGAACTCCAGTGATTGTCAATCACACTCCAAAATGGTCCATACTTGTGTGCATCATCATTATGATTGATTTTAATTGCAAGCTTTGCCCTGTACATGTCATTGTAGATGAATGGCATCGAAAGGCTCTGATCACCATTAATCTTTTGTAGCACTTCCACTATAGGGTCAACTGATCTCCTAACATACTGTACCTTTCTCCAAAATGAGGAATCCAGCACAATGCTTTTCACTTCCTTACCCACGTCCAATTTTGAAAACCTAGATGAAAGCCATTTATTTGACTGAAACATTCTTCGAAGACCAATCCTATGATCAAGCAAACTCTGCAAAGTAGTAAAACTTGAAGCATATCGAGTAACAGATGGCCTCAAAACTTCCTCACCTCCAGTAAATTCCTTTTTCATCAGATTCAACAACCAGATCCTATTGTAAATAAACTTTGTTACTTTTTGGCTTTTCTCTATGCATTCTCGCACCCGATTTATTTTCATAAAATCTTCAAGCATGCGATCAATACAAAAGGCAGCACAAGGAGTCCAAAATAAATTCATTCTCTTCTCTTCAAGCATCTTCCCAGCCTCCCGATAACTGGGTGTATTTTCAGTGATTACCTACACTTACAGTTAATATCAGAGAGGAGTGGAATGGGGGAGGGCAAAAGCAGAGTCGCCAAATCTAAGCACAAAAGTAATGGAAATAATAGTATGCACACAAGTGAAACTTACCTGCACGACATTTTCCTCACCCGTCTCCTCAACCACTCTGTCAAGCATTTTAAACAAATATTCTGCATCATCAGCAACACCAGTGGCATCAACTGAACAAACAAAATATACACCACGGGGGCAAGAAACTAAAACATTGATCAATGTCCTACCCTGCATATCTTGCCAACTATCTGCCAAAATGGAACACCCTGTAACTGCCCAGGAAGACTTGTACTCAGCGAGGTAGTTTTTTATGGTCAAAAGCTCATCCTGTAAAAACCGACCAGATAACAATTGGCTTGATGGTCCCACTAAACCAGGCCCATGCTGACCAACCAAATCTAGCATTTTATGAAAATAAGGAGAGTTGGCTGCATGTAAAGGGACTCCTGCATGATAGAAGAATTTGCAAATAGCAGAAGTAACCTCTCTCCGCGACCTGCTGGAGGAACTTGTTTTCATTTGTTTGCCAGATGCTTGCATCTGACTCTTGGGTGTCATCAGAATATTAGCATCAAACCTTGGCCTTTTCGGTGATGGTTCAGGGCCATTACCCTGGGAGATCCCTTTGAAACTTCTTCTCAAATCTCTGTGATATCTTTTGTCCCCGAGAAAAAGTTTATCATTGCCCAAGTGATGTATATCTTCTTTTTCTTCTTCCTCCTCTTCCTCATCTTCATTTTCTGAGTTCACATAAAAGGATGATATCTCTTTGGTACCAGGTCGTCCATGCCTCCTTCCTGTACGATGCCATTTCATGTTTTCTTTCATTTTGACATATACTTCCTCAGGTGCACTCTTACAAGGAGAAACTTCTCCAGGTATTCTAGCAAGATGTTGCTTGAACCGATTAATACCTCCACTCACTATCTTGTCACAGTAATTGCATTTTACCTTTTTCTTCCTGTCATCCTGAGGAACACCGTGTTCCCACCCAGGGTCAACATATCCTAATGAACGAAGAGGAGTCATATTTATCACTAAACCCTTGTCACCTACCAATTGCTTACCTTTATTCCTATATCCAGCATGCTCCTCCTCCTCCACATCATCATTGGCGTGAAAATTCAAAAATGATTGTTCATCGTACTCAATTTGCCTTGCCTTTTTACCAAAACGACACCCTTCTAGATTTTCTCTCATTTTCTGGCACACCTCCTCTGGAGCTTTGTCGCAATATGTTACTTCTCCAGAAATCCGAGCTAGGTGTTGCTTCAACCTGTATATCCCACCGCTAACTACTTTTCCGCAGTAATTACATCTGACCTTCTTCTTTCTCTCATCTTGAGCAGCACCATGCTCCCACCCGGGGTCTACATATCCAGCTGAGCGAAGTGATGCCATCTTCAGACCATTCCTTGTGATGCGCTGCAGCTGTTTTCACGGCAATAATTTCCAGTAGCAGGAGAAAAACCACAAGATATTTGGTAGTCCTACTTGGTAATGCATGATTATGTTATGTCGTACTGAATCGAAAGACAACATATTTTGAGGAGTCAAAATCAATAGTCGTTGGCACAAAATGTCTACATGAGAGAAATTTTATAAGCAACATACCAATAATAATGCACCTTTTGAATAAAATCAAATCCTTAACCGTCATAGTTCAAAAATTAATTTATTATTTTCACAGGAATTCCCAGTCGAAATCTTTAATACTTAAAAATTCAAATCAAACACAGTCACAGCCAGCAATTTGAAGATCACAAAACTGACAGTGGACTGAAATGACAATAAGCACATTCCTAAAATTTTACTTCAAAATCAAACTTTAGCACATTCTGTAAATTTCGTATAACAATTTGTGACAATTACTCAAATGCCACGACTTACAATCCCAGATACAAAAACTAACTAAACTTTCGAATCAGAATTCTCGTTAAGAGATTTGATTAATTTACTTACTATAAGAAACCGTTTAGTTTGAGCAAAAATATTAGAAATAGAAAAATGACAACAAGAAATTGAAAATAATATATGAAATACCCAAAACAGTAACCGAAAAAAATTGAAAAGAAACAATACATCAATAATTTCATCGATAATCAAGGAAATAATAAATTGTGGATTTGCATACCAGAAATTTTAGCTGATTCTGATCCTATCGGTGGATATTGGCGTTTCAATTTGAGTAACGTTTCACAGTGTTTTTTATATGTTCCAGGAAGTATTACGAAAAAATGAAAAATTTCATGGATCGGAGAAAAGAACGAGTTGGATGATTTGGGAATCGTGACTCTCTGAGTGAACACGGGGTTGGGACGGCCGGGTTTTATCGTGCATAATTTTATTTCTACTTTTTCAACATAGTAATACTAGGTAGGATTACAACTCAATTTACATGACGCTAAATTATGATAAATGAAAAGTGAACCACTTATCATATAATGTCACGTTATTGTTACCTAAATTGAGATTGCAACCTGAGTAGAGTTAAATAGCATTAATAATTTTTATTTTTTTTAACAATCTTGTAGAAAAAAAATAAATAAAATAGTTCAAGCCTTCAATATCGTGATTATATAATCTTGAAATTGGGGTGAATAGAGCGTTGAATATGCTCCTGCACACGAAATTACCGTCGATTTTTAAACACGGCCTAGAACGTAAGACGCCTCATATTGCTGTCAATTTATATTCTCTAAAATTCATTTTCAACAACATTTCATAAGACTGTGGGTATGTTTGTCTTGCATTATTGAAAGAAAAATAGAGTAATGAAAAATATTTTTTGAAGAATGTGTAATTGAAAAGTAAAGTAACTTTATTGGTTTGTGTGTAGAATATTTTATTTGGTGAATGTGTGGTGGAGAATTTTACTGTAGCAAATAATTTTTTGAAATAATGATAGACAAATAGCGACTATATAACTTTTATCAGCTTTTCAAACATATATTATATCTTTTATCAAAATCTAATAAAATATGATTTTTAACTAAATCAACACGAGCTAAATATAGTCATAACATTGAAAACAAATTGAAGTTCAATAATACGATTGAAACAAATTAAAGTTATATGATCTAGTTGAGATCTCTTCATCGATTATATCATGGGGCGGGACGGAACGGGACGGGACTAAGATTTTAGTGAAGTATTGGGAGAGGGAGGATGTATAAATTATTAATACTTCTATTTTTAACTGTCAACGTTAGTCTTTCTGATTCTTCTCAGCCTCTGTTCTCAAATAACCACCTAAAGTTAACACATCCACTCCTATCCCTGAAAACATTATCAGCCATCATCCTTATTTACTCAAAACAACCTCCATTCATATGTATAAGAGTCAAACTGGATTCTTCATCGCCGATAATAATCAAATAACAGGCAGCCTAAACAAAAGTAGCCAACATGAACAAAGCCCTTCTCTTAGGAATATCGATTTTCCTCGTCGTTGGAGCAGTCGTTAGTCTAATTGCCGGAGTAAATCATCGTCGTTTGACCACAGACGAGGACGGTCAGGTGCTCTCCACCACCACCAAGTTGGTTGCTACCGTTTGTTCCCAAACCGATTATAAGAGGGCGTGCGTCGATAGCATGTCGTCTTTGGCCAACAATGCTAGCGCCACTCCAAATGATTTTCTCCAGGCCGCAATTAATGTAGCCATTGAAGAGGTGCAAGCTGCAATGAATAGGTCTTTAAAGATTGGACAAGCAGCCAATGACTCGTTCCAAAAGATGGCGGTCGAGGATTGCAAGGAGTTACTGGAATATGCTGTTGAGGAGCTCCAGGCATCATATTCCATGGTGGGTGATAGTAACTTGCATACGGCCGCAGACAGAGAAGCCGAGCTAAAAAACTGGTTAAGTGCCGTTATCTCGTACCAGCAAACCTGCATAGATGGCTTCACAACCCCAGAGCTTAAGAATGCAATATCAAATGGAATTCTAAATGCTACTCAGTTAACTGACAATGCTCTTGCCATTGTCACTGCCATTCCTCAAATTCTGCAGGCATTTAACCTTCCATTACACACGGCTGCAACTGCAAATTCAACTTCTCGGAGATTGCTCAATAATAATCGTGATATGTTGGACAACAGTGGGTTCCCTGCCTGGTTCTCGGCTGGAGACAGACGACTGATGGCCAGCCAAAGCGGGGGACAACCAGCACCTAATTCGGTGGTAGCCCAAGATGGAAGTGGACAGTACAAAAGTATCAATGATGCTCTTGCAGCATATCCCAAGGACCTCAAAGGGAGGTATGTTATCTACGTCAAGGCAGGAGTTTACAATGAATATGTGATAGTCACCAAGAAGCAGGTTAATGTGTACATGTATGGAGATGGACCCCGAAAGACCATTGTCACTGGAAAAAAGTGTAGACGCGACGGTACCCAAACCTTCCAGTCTGCCTCATTCAGTGAGTTGCTCTTCAATTTCCTGTGTTCGAACACATAAATCCAATCATGTTAAATTTGACAAGTTGATTAATCACATAAAATAAACATATCCTCAGGTGCAATTGGAAATGGATTTATAGCCAAGTCAATGGGATTTCAAAACACAGCAGGGCCTGAGGGACACCAAGCTGTGGCTCTTCGAGTGCAATCTGACCAATCTGCGTTCTATAACTGCAGAATGGATGGGTATCAAGACACACTCTATATCCAAACCCATCGTCAATTCTATCGTAACTGCGTCATCTCTGGAACGGTCGACTTCATATTTGGAGATTCAGCAGCAATCATCCAAAACAGTTTGATCATAGTAAGGAAGCCAATGGACAACCAAGAGAACACAGTGACAGCACATGGACGAAGTAATAGTCGGGAGACAACCGGTGTAGTAATCCAGAACTGCAGAATAGTTCCGGAGCTGTTACTAGAACCCTTGAGATTCCAAATACCAACATTTCTGGGACGACCATGGAAGGAGTACTCGAGGGCTATGATAATGGAATCGACATTGGCAGATTTCATTCAACCAGCAGGATGGATGCCATGGGATGGAAACCTATATCTTGATACTCTGTATTTTGCAGAGTATGAAAACCGGGGACCAGGTGCAGCTACTGATAAGCGGGTGAAATGGAAGGGGTTTCATGTGATAACAGACAGGAATCAAGCACTTCAGTTCACTGCTGGTCCATTTATTCAAGGAGGCCAATGGTTGAGGAGTACCAGTGCACCCTTCTTCCTTGGATTCAAAACCTAAGCAAGAAAACACAACTGGCCGGATTGCATACACATTTCATTTCAGGTAGAAAAATACGAATCCTGTTATGCACGTACTAGGTTAGACAGGACTGTGTGAGGATATGAGAGGATGGACGAACGATAGATAATTGTCACCCCTGTCTTCTTCATCTGCAAATTTGCTTCTTCAAGATAGAACCACATTTCTTTCTTTCATAGTTATTCCCTCAACAAGTGTAGAAACGCGTTTCGTAAATAGTTAGATTATGCTGTCCAATAAACACAGCAATAAAGTTATCATATTTTCACGAGGTACAAAACAAACTATTAGAAAGAGCAGAAGAAGAAAATAATAGCATTCCCACCCCTTTCTGTTGATCCAAACCGAGATTTCAAAGGAGAAGCATTAACAAATAAAAAACTGCCATCATAAAGGGAATGAGAGAGTACGATAAAGAAAATATCAGAATAGTAACAAAAGAAAATTTTATCTACCAAATCAATCATCATAAATGAAAGATGCAGAATAAGACATGTTACAAATTGAAAACATCAAACACAAAATTACGTTATCCTGCACCAAAAACAGGAAAATAGTCATGGATCAAGTAGCCAAATTATACCATCATTAGCTTCACGTCCATATTATACATATATAAAATAAATATTAAACCTCAGCTTTAATCCCGCAAGTAAACCAGAACGCTTGGCCACAAGACAAGACAAGTTCATCAGTAAATTCCAGATTCCTCAGACAAGCTCAACAGAGAATTGAAAATCCATTTGTCCAAATCAAATATGACAAAAAGTAAAACGTGAAGAAGGATAGGAGACAAACAAGGTAAACAATTGAACGTTGTAAAGACATGGTCCGGCAAGGTAGATGATTCAGTGTTCCAGTTTTCAATATTTATTAGCAGAATCGTAAGAGCAAAAACCATGAAGATTGGGTCTTGATAAGAATATAAAAAAATTAAACTCTCCTGCTAATCTAGTCCTACATGATATAAATCAAAAGGCACCTAACTGACCATACAAAGGAGCTTGTTAATTTATGAACCTCCTCACATCATTGCCAGCCATCTCTATTCATCGCATATCATAAAATTAAACATTTCAAACCAACTCCACCACCATACATCAAGAAAATAGAAACAAAAAATACATACGTCTAGGCTTAGGTCAATCTGCAGCCATGAAGGGATCTGTATTGCCAAATCAACTAATAACGGTTCTAATTTTGTAGAGTCTTCATCTTCTGGTACAAAATAAGTTGGAAATGGAAGTAATGCTAAGTCTGGCTTCTTGTACGCTGCATCTTTTATGAACACAAAATTTCCTGAAGCACCTGGAACCTGGAAAAGCGCAACAGTCACAACAGGGCATAAAAACAAAATTTAACTACAGGCTAGCTGACTTATGGACCAAAACAAATTATTGGAAATTAAGATAGATGGATTCACCAACATAGTTAGAAGCTAACATCTGCTGCCTTCAATTTGGACGAGTACATGCATTTCAAATGGAAACAGGAAGGGAAAGAAAAGCATACTTGGCCTTTTACCCATATCAAGCTCCTGGCAGGGTCAATTTTGTAGACCCATACATTTTTAACCGTTCTTTGCTCGACACCCATGTGTCCAGGCATTTTTTTGCCTTTAAATACCTGATCAAAAAGCAAAATATAATTGCAAGTGAATACATAATATAATTTCAACTGAATAACATTACAAAACAGATTCCAGAATACAAGAATGAAATTTCATCATCAGGAAAGGAAATGCATACCTTCCCAGGAGCATCCCTTTGACCAGTAGAACCAATACTTCGGTGTGATAATGATGCACCATGAGAAGCAGGCATACCTTTAAAGCCCCACCTTTTCATCCCACCCTACAAGCAGAAGAAAATGAGAGTACAACATTATGATGCAACTTCAGAAAAATTGTAACCTTTAATGAAAGTGGCGTGGATTCATTATAGGCAGCAATAGACTAAAAATAATGAAATCTCAAGACCCGGACACAATTTTCATAACTGAACAAGCGCTTAGCATCAAGCTATCATATTTTACTTTTCTTGTATAAACCACAGATTATACACCAGCCTTTTCAGGTTCCATTGCCGAAACGAAAAAAAAGTCCTATTTCTTCTACAGATGTTACATTAGACAAAAAGAAACTCAAAGCAAGAAAATAGACATGGATCCACTCACAAATGCCATTCGCGCTCAATTGACAATACTGTCAAAAGTCTCTATTATTTCTCAATAGCAGAGTACATGAATATATAAAGATACACACCTTGCGATAAGATTCCGTAGGTGTATCTAAGGCTACATTATGGTTGACCCCTTTAATTGAGGGATTTTACAATGAGATACTTTCTATAAATACTCTGACTTGATCTTTCTATATTAACTTGTATGACAGCTCATGCCAACACTCCCCCTCAAGTTGGTGCATAGATATCTCTAATGCCCAACTTGTCAAGTGAGATGTAGAAATTTCTGCTGGATACAGCTTTCGTGAGAACATCCGCCAGCTGGTCTTCTGACTTGACAAATGGGAACTGAATAATTTTCTCTTCAAGATTTTGTTTAATAAAGTGCCTATCGACCTCCACATGCTTAGTTCGATCATGTTGGATAGGATTGTGAGAGATGTCAATGGCTGCCTTATTGTCGCAGAACAGGTTCATTTCTGAGCTGGGAGCAAAGCCTATCTCAGTCAGTAGTCTTCTCAGCCAAAGCAGTTCGCATACACCCTTAGCCATACCTCGAAATTCTGCTTCGGCACTAGATAGAGCAACAACCTTTTGTTTCTTACTCCTCCACGTAACGAGATTTCCTCCTACAAAGGTGAAGTAGCCTGAAGTAGACTTCCTGTCCGAGATATTTCCAGCCCAATCTGCGTCGGTGTATCCATCAACATTCAAATGATTATTTTTCCTGAACATTAGTCCTTTCCCTGGAGAGAATTTTAAATACCGAAGAATTCTAGTTACTGCATTCATATGTGCTTCACTAGGGCAGTGCATGAACTGGCTCACTACGCTTACGGCGTAGGCAATGTCAGGTCGAGTATGAGACAAGTAAATAAGCTTGCCGACTATCCTTTGGTACCTCTCTTTGTCAGTGGGTACTTGGTCGGCATATATCCCAAGTTGATGATTTTGGACAATAGGAGTGTCTGCTGGCTTACACTCTAGCATCCCTACCTCAGATAAGAAGTCTAAAACGTATTTCCTTTGAGATAAAAATATGCCCTGTTTTGATCTGGATACCTCAATTCCCAGGAAGTATTTGAGTCCCCCTAGGTTCTTCATCTCAAACTCAGCCGACAATTGCTTTTGAAGCTTGGAGATTTCTTCTTTGTCATCACCTGTGATGATCATGTCGTCTACGTAAACAATTGGTGCTGTCACTTTTCCCGATTGGTGTTTTAGGAAAAGGGTATGGTCTGAATTACTCTGCTGAAAACCATATTTTTTCATGGCTGCACTGAATCGACCGAACCATGCACGAGGTGATTGCTTTAAACCATACAATGCCTTGTTTAGTTTGCATACTACTTTATCTTCAGGAGTTGCCGAGTACCCAGGTGGAATGTTCATGAAAACTTCTTCTTCTAAATTACCATGGAGGAATGCGTTCTTCACATCAAATTGATGTAGCGGCCAATTTAAATTTGCTGCAAGAGATAATAAAACTCTAACAGTGTTTAGTTTTGCTACCGGTGAGAACGTTTCTTGGTAATCTATACCATATGTCTGTGTGTACCCCTTTGCCACGAGCCTCGCCTTGTACCTGTCAATGGATCCATCAGCATTGTATTTAATGGAGAAGACCCATTTGCACCCTACTATTTTTTTTCCTTCGGGTAATGGGACCAGCTTCCAAGTTTCATTTTTTTCTAAGGCCTTCAGTTCTTCTTTTATTGCTTGACTCCATTGTGGATCAAATAGTGCTTCTTCTACAGTTTTGGGAATGTAATCTGAGGATAGTTTATGTGCAAAGGCCTTGAGTGGTTCGGCTAGCCTGTGAGTGGACACATAGTTGGCTATAGGATATTTGGATCTTCTATCTTCTACTTCCGGAGAGTATCGGCTTGGTGGTTTACCACGGTTCTGTCTTACAGGCAACACATATTGCACAGTACTATTCACGTTATCAGTAAAAGAAGATATGGCAGGGAGACTAACCTCAGCGATATTCTCAGGAGAGGGGCCTTCGGGTACTAAAGAGGGGGAACCATCACCAGTTGTTGCATCTGAAGTCATATCATTGACAGGTGCTGGTGTTTCGTTACATTCCATATTACATGGTTCTTCAACAATTGGTTCTTCTGTTGGAGAGCGTTCCACAGTCAATCTTACTTCGGTATTTCCATCACTGGGTTGTTCTGTGACCCCTTCCGATTCTAGCCATGTTGTTGCTAGCCAATTCACTTCTTCATTTTGAATCTCCCCCTGAAGAGATGATTTGGTGGCAGGTGGTGGATAGAAGGTCTCCATTTCGAGAAAGGTGACATCCATGGTGATGTATGTACGTTTAGTGATGGGATCGTAACATCTATACCCTTTTTGATGTAGAGCATAGCCCAAGAAAAGACATCGTACTGCACATGGATCTAACTTGGTTCGCTGGTTCTTATGGAGATGAACGAAGGCAACGCAGCCAAAGATTCGGGGTGGAAGCATCAGCACAGTGGGTAGAGATGTATGGCTGGAGAGAGCCTGCAAGGGAGTCCGAAATTGTAGGACTTTGGAAGGCATTCTATTAAGCAAATATATGGCTGTGGTAACTGCATCATCCCAGTGCCGAGAGGGTACATGTGCTCCAATCAATAATGCTCGTGCCGTCTCTAAGATATGTCGATTTTTCCTCTCGGCAATGCCGTTTTGTTGAGGAGTTTGGGAACAGGAAGTTTCATGAATGAGACCATGGTGCTGAAAGTAAGTCTGGAATTTTGTATTGACATATTCACCGCCATTATCAGTACGAAGGGTCTTAATCTTGGCTGAAAATTGTGTTTGAATCATTATGTGAAATGATTGAAACACACCAAACACTTCATCTTTCCGTTTAAGTAGATATAACCAAGTCATTCGAGTACAATCATCAACAAATATAACAAACCATTTATTTTCAGATGGAGTAATAACATGAGAGGGTCCCCATACATCCGAATGGATTAAAGAAAAAGGCATGTCTCTTTTTGTGTGACTTATGGGGTAAGGAACTCTATGACTTTTGGCTACAATACATGTTTCACATTTGAAAGATGATGGTTGTAATGTAGAAAATAGGGCTGGAAAGAGATGCTGCAAATATCCAAAAGAAGGATGTCCCAAGCGGTTATGAAGGAGCCAAATTTGCTGTTCTTTAGCACTGGTGTGTCGAGTGTGATTTGCTTTCCCTGAACTGAAGTCATCCATGTAGTAGAGTCCCCCTTTTTTAGTACCACGCCCAATGATCTCCTTGGTGAGAATATCCTGAAGAAGACAGAAAGTAGGGTACATTAATACAACACAATTGAGATCGGTTGTAACTTGACTAACAGACAGTAATTTATTTGATAAGGATGGAACAAGTAAAGTATGATTTAGGGAAAGGGAAGAGGATAGGGCCACTATCCCCGCTCCTGTGACCGGATATTGGACTCCATTAGCATTTGCAATACAAGTTCTCCTAGGCTGAGTCATATGTGAGAAATCATGGGAATTAAAAGTCATGTGATCGGTAGCTCCGGAATCTATAATCCACATGCTTTCATTGTGACCATGGCATGTGACCAGAGCTTGTCCACAGTTACCTTGATCGCTGAGGGTAGTGAAAGGATTTGTTGATTCTGGTTGAGCAGTGAGAGATAATTGTGGTTCTGCACTTGCAAAGGCTGCCCTTCCTGTGTCTTTATTTGTGCCAGTCCCTTCACGTTTTTTCCGTGCTTGAAAATCATTCCACCACTCAGGATAACCGTGTAACTTAAAGCAAGTTTCATGAGTATGTTTTACGTTGCCGCAATGGGTGCATTTCGGGCCATCAGATTGAGATTTTGATCTTGGTTTGCCAGGTTTGAAGCCTTTAGATGTCATAACCGCACCTGGAGCAATATCACTACCTGATGTCATGACTGCTTGCCTAATGTCTTCACGTCGGACATGAGCATATGCCTGCTCAACTGTAGGGAATGGTTGTAATTGAAGAACATCACTTCGAATCTTGTCTAGCCGATCATCTAAGCCATCGAGGAAGACATAGACTCTATCTTCCTGTAAGATGGAGTTATACTGCTGAATATCTCCTGCACATTTCATTGGGTTAGGACGACGAAAATCAATTTCGCGCCATAAACCTTGAAGATCATTATAATACTTTTCAATGGAACCACCCGCCTGCTTCATGCGAGTTACACGACGCCGAAGGTCGTATACTTGGGATGTATCAGTCCCATCAAAAAATGTTGTAGCAATTGAGTCCCATACCTGTTTAGCAGTTGGGAATCGAATAAAATTACCAATCAATGAGGGGTCCATTGAGTTGATCAGCCATCCTTTGACAATGGCATTTTCAGTTCTCCATTTCCGGAACAATGGATCGGTTTCGAGAGGTTGTGGAGAGTCACCAGTTATATATCCCAGTTTGTCTTTTCCTGAGATATACATCTCAACAACTTGGGACCATAAGGCATAGTTGGAGCCATTCAACTTGATGCCAATAGGAGCATTCGGAAAATCAGATGGGGTTTGAGAGGAGGTCTGGACTTTGTTCAAGACCTCTGTCATTTTTGTTGTCCAGTCGTCGAGACTGGAATCTGCCATGGTTGCTGAATGTTAGAAGTTTTGATCAGTGGGTGGACAGAGCAAAGATCCTAGGTTCCTGCTCTGATACCATGTCAAAAGTCTCTATTATTTCTCAATAGCAGAGTACATGAATATATAAAGATAGACGGGAACGCTATTCTAAGGCATCCACATAATACTGTGCTCTAAATATAGTAAGAATTCTTTTTCTTTTTGTCAGGTAAGTGTGCAACATATTCTCCACATACCTTGTATAACCATAGAAGTGTACATGAGCTAAATTAAATACATTTATAAACCTTCAAACTTTGAACTTCGGGAGCCGGACAGAAGTAGATAACAGTCATGGAAAATATTCATTCAACTCAATTCTGAGAGGAACAATCACGTCCAACAATCAACATGATTAGATATAATCAAAAAAGAAATTTCACATATTAACTTACAAGAACAAAACATCTAATTGTTTTGGATCCTCACATTACCTACAAATCTACAGATCTTCTATAACCTTTTTTTCATGGCATAACCTCATTACATACAGAGAACTATACAAATTTTGAATGAAGAGCTACCCCATTTTAATGGTCAAATCAACAATGCTTCTTACATCCAAATGGAATGAAAAGCAGAAAACTT